GAAAGAAAGAAAGAAAGAAAGAAAGAAAGAAAGAAAGAAAGAAAGAAAGAAAGAAAGAAAGAAAGAAAGAAGCCAGGCCCAAAAAGACAAACATGGTATTCATTCACTTGTAAGTGGATATTACACATAATGTAAAGATTAACCATGCTACAACCCACAGACCCAGAAAAGCTTAATAACAAATTGAGCTTATTCATAGGATAGTGGCACAGACATTGTGGAAACAACTAGCTCTCTCTGATTGTACTTAAGCCCACTACATAATATGGAACCTATTTTTTACACTGGTTATGTGACCAATACCTGGAATAAAAATCACAGATTCCATTCCAATTATACTTATTTCTTGTATTAAAATAGATTTTTTTCTCATACAATATATCCTGATTATAATTTCCCTTCCTGCTGTTTCTCCTATTTCTTTCTCACTTTTCCTTCCCTCCAGATCCACTCTCTTTCTGTGTCTCTCATTACAAAGAAAAATATTTATCAGAGATAATAACCCAACATGACAAAATAAAATTTAATAAGGTGAAGAAAAAATTATCATGTCAAAGTTGGGCATAATAACCCAACATGAGGAAGAGTCCTAAGAGCAAGCACAAGAGTCAGAGACGTATTTGTTCTCACAGTCAGGAGTCCTATAAAAATACTAAGCTAGATGTTCAGGGTTTTAGTAGGTTTATCCTATGTTATATGTCTATATGAGTGAGTATATACCGTGTGTGTCTTTCTGCTTCTGGGACAGCTCACTCAGGATGATCCTTTCCAAGTCCCACCATTTACCTGCAAATTTCATGATTTCCTTATTTTTCATTGCTGAGTAATACTCCATTGTGTAGATGTACCACAATTTCTGCATCCATTCTTCAGTTGAGGGGCATCTGGGCTGTTTCCAACTTCTGGCTATAACAAATAAAGTGCTACAAACATGGTTGAGCAAATGTCTTTATTGTGTACTTGAGACCCTGACTATAACGCTCAATCCCCATCCCAAAAGGCAAGGAGGATAGACACCAGAGGAAGAAGAAAACAGGAAACGAACTAGGAACCTGCCACAGAGGGCCTCTGAAAGGCTCTGCCCTACAGACTATCAAGGCAGACACTGAGACTTAAGGCCAACTGATGGGCAAAGTGCATGGAATCTTAAGTAAGAAGTAGGAAGTAGTAAGATCTGGAGAGGACAGGACCCCCACAAGGAGAGCAACAGAACCAGAAAATTTGAACACAGGGGTCTCTCCATATTCCAACCAAGGAACATGCATAGAGATAACCTAGAACCCCTGCACAGATGTAGTCCATGACAGCATAGTATCCAAGTGGGTTCCATAGTAATGGGAAGAGGGACTGTCTCTGACATAATCTGATTGGCCTGTTCTTTTTTTTTTTTTTTTTTTCTTAGTAACAAAAACAATTTAATGATCACTATGCCTTATGATTTAATTATTAGACAGTGTGATTCATTAAGCACTGTACCTATTTTTTTTTTCTTTTTAGTTACATTTTGTTAACTCTGATAGGAGCTCTACAAGGACCAAATATATCTGGGCACAGGGTCTTTTCTGAGACTGAAACTCAACCAAGGACCATCTATGGATTGGCCTGTTCTTTGATCACCTCCCCCTAAGGGGAGAGCAGCCCTACCAGGCCACAGAAGATGACAATGCAGCCATTCCTGATGGGATCTGATAGACTAAGATCAGAAGGAAGGAGAGGAGGACCTCCCCTATCAGTGGACTTGGGAGGGGCGGGCGAGAAGAAGGGGAGGGAGGGTGTGGCTGGGAGGGGAGGAGGGAGGGGTTTATGAGGGGATACAAAGTGAATAAACTATAATTAATAAAAAATAAAAAAGATAATAAAAATACTAAGCTAATAGCTGTATTATATTTGCAGAGGACCTGGTTCAGACTCATATAGATCCTATGCTTGCTACTTTAGTCTCCATGAGCTCATATGTGTCTTACTTATTTGTTCAAAGAGCCTTGTTTCCCTGAAGTCCTCCATTTCCTTTGGCTCTTACACTCTTTCTGCCTCCTCTTCTGCAGGGTTTCCTGAGCTTTGAGGGGAAGGATTTTATGGAGACATCCCATTTAGACTATCTCTTTCTTGCTCTGGGTCTCTGTATCTGCTCCTACAGCCTTCTAGAGAAAGCTTCTCTGATAATGCCTGGATAAGGCACTGATCTATGACTACAGTAGAATATGATTAGGAGTCAATTTATTGATATATTAGGAGTCAATTCATTGATACATGTTTTTAGTGTTTAGTTTTACACTAGGTCTCTGGGATATATACTCTCTAATTCTTGGTTACTGAAAGAGTCAGGGATTGGTTCCTTCTTGTGGAGTTGGCCTTAAGTCAAATTAGACATTGGCTGGATATTCCCACAAGTTCTGTGCCACAACTAACTTATTTTTGAAGGCAGAAGAGATTGCAGGTCAAATGTTTTTCTGGATTGGTTGGTGTTTATGCTTCTCTTTCAGTAACCTGCAGGGTACCTACCTTTCTGCACCAAAAGGAACTAGAACATAGGGGTAAAGGCTTCATGTAGGCACCAGTTTGACTTCTCTGAGTTCAATGAATTGTGTGTGAGTTGTTCCTAGCAATAGAGTCATACTTTCAGTTTGCAGAGAGAAGCTATTTGTATTAGCAATATTTGGTTATTTGGGGATTTCCTTGGGGCTCTCTTTGCCAACAACTTAATTGAATACAATCCAGTCAGTCCTGCTACTGAAAGCATCATTTTGGTGACAGGAGATGGTCAGTTGAGACGCTGTACTCTCCTTTATTAGGAGACCTCATTATGATCACCTTCATATATTTTAGGAAGTTTCCACTGCACTAGCTTTCCAAATCATCCCTCAAATGTCCTTTAATTCAAGCTGTTTCTCTCCTAATTCTTTCCCTCTACCCTATCTTCCCTCCCCATTCCCATCTGTTTCTCTTGTTCCAGTCCCCATCTCCCCCTAGGATATCTGTAAAATCTATTGGATTTTCCACTGCAGGGAGATCCAGGTGACCCCTAGACCCTTGTTCTTTACCTACCTTCTCTGAGACTATATACTGTAGCTTGGATATCATTTACTCAACTTTTAATACCCACTTATAATCAAATGCATACCAGGTTCATCTTACTCAGGATATTTTTTCTACATCTATCCATTTGCCTATAAATTTCATGATCTCATTTTTTAAAGAGCTGAGTAGTATTTCATTGTATAAATGTACATTTCCTTTATTCGTTCTTCTGTTGAGGGACATCTATAATGTTTTCACTTTCTGTCTATTATAAATAAAGCCAGAATTTTTAATTTTTTTATATTAATTACATTTCATTAACTTTGTATCCCAGCTGTAGCCCCCTCTCTCAGTCCCTTCCAATCCCACTCTCCCTCCCTCATCTCCTCCCTGCCCCTCTCCAAGTCCACTGAGAGGGAGGGCTCCTCCCTCTCCATCTGACCCTAGCCTATCAGGTGTCATCAGGGCTGGCTGCACTGTCTTCCTCTGTGGCCTGGTAAGGCTGCTCCCCCATCATGGGGAGGTGATCAAAGAGCCAGCCATTGAGTTCATGTCAGAGACAGTCCCTGTTCCCCTTACTAGGAAACCCACTTGGATACTGAGCTGCCATGGGCTACATCTGTGCAGGTGTTCTAGATTATATCCATGAACGGTCCTTGTTTAGAATATCAGTCTCAGAACAGGCCCCTGGGCCAGATTTCTTGGTTCTGTTGCTCTCCTTGTACAGCTCCTGTCACCTCCAGGTCTTACTATCTTCCCTTCTTTCATAAGTTTTCCTGTACTCTGCCAAAAGTTTGGCTATGAGCCTCAGCATCTGCTTTGATACCCTATTAGGTACAGACTTTCAGTGACCCTCTGTGGTAGACTCCTGTCCTTTTCCCTGTTTTTTTTTTTTTTCCCTCTTTCAATGTCCAACCCATTTGCCTTTCTGAATGAGGACTGATCCTCTTACCCAGGGTCCTTGTCCTTTCTTAGCTTCTTTAGGTAAACAGATTTTAGTATGCTTATCCTATCTTATATGTCTAATATCCAATTATAAGTGGATGTATACCATGGGTGTCTTTTTGTTTCTGGGATGCCTCATTCAGGATGATAATCTATAGATCACATTATTTGCCCACAAATTTAATGATTTCCTTGTTTTTAATTGCTGAGTAGTATTCTGTTGTGTAAGTGTGCCACAATTTCTGTATCCATTCCTCAGTTGAGGGGCATCTAGGTTGTTTCCAGCTTCCGGCTATTATGAATAAAGCTGCTACAAACATGGTTGAGCAAATGTCCTTGTTGTGTATTTGAGCAACAAAACACCAACAGCACAAGATCTAAGATCAACAATCAATAAATGGACCTCATGAAAAACTTTATTTTTAATGAGTTATGTAGATGCTCTCTTTAGGAATATGACCTTGTTGTCAGTTTGTAGAGAGCAAACTTAAGTCTTGACAGCAGCCTGAATTGTTTGTTGATTCCCCTGAGGCCCCTTTGGCCAACATCTCATTTGGATGTAACTCAATTCCAGTGCTGGGAGCTTCATTTGGTGACAAGAAATATCTAGTTAAAACTGTTTTCACCATTTTTTGACTATTTCATTTAGGTAAGTTTTTTAAATCTATATATTTTAAGAATTTTTATAGTTTTATATTTCTACATTATGTATTATATGTCCTCTAATTTTAACTGCCTCCTTGTTTTTTCTTCCACAATCTCCTCCTCTCCCTTCTTCAATATATCCCTGCATTCTAGCTTCTCTTAGCGATCTCTACCTCTCTATTCTATCTTTCTTTCCTAACAAGATCTATTTGTTTCCTCTAGTCCCTTACCTACCCTTCGTGGTTACATTGATTTTAGCGTGGTTATTATTAGCTTTCCGGCTAATATCCACTTTAAGACTCCACATGTTCTTTGATCTATTAGAAATTAGCTTTCTATTACCAAGTTTATGATGTTAATTCAGCTTGTAGTTATAGAAAACATTCCTTCACATGGAGGGTATCTCTGGTGCTCACTAGATCGTCTCTTATTTGCTGGGGTATGTTATATTTAAGGTATCAACAATCTGTTCTATTCTCACAAATAAGAGAATCACAGCCTTATTACTAAAACTGTAGAAGCCCTTTCTCCCTGGAACAAAAATACTTGTAAACATGTTTGGAGTTCCAAAAAGAAAAAAATAATCTCCCCACTCTCTTTCAATTGCTTAATAATTTATTGATGAAATTTACCTTCACCTTCAGAGAAAAACTAAAATATTGCACAGTATATGGTCTCAAGTCCATTCTAAACATTTTAACTCCCCAATCTGCAATTTTGAACCCCCCCACCAAGATTTTAGCAACCTTTACTATACAGTGATAATGTTGCAGTGATATCATTAATCTTTTCATTATTGAAAGTTGGATTTCTTAACTTATATTTCAGTGTTCCTTCTAAGATGAGCATGATAGGTATCCATTGTTAATGCATATTCTTAATTTCCCAAACAGAAAAATAAGGAGAATCTGTAGCTAAGGTCACAATGTTATCATACATCATTGCACTGGTTTATAAATCCATACAAAGAAATATGACATATTGTGGCTACTTGTAAGATTTTTGTTCAGTCTAAGACCTTCCCAACTGAGATATTCTGGCCAAATCTTGTTCACAAGACTATATTCATTAGTAAGAAGCCATGGAACTAGCCATAGGTCCTTGTTGAAAACTTCAAAATAGTGAAGCGGATTGTTACAGTTATTTTTATTACACTATGTTGGTTTATCTTACTTTCTCTCCTAACCCAATTATCAAACAAGTTATTAAGACTCCATTATATTTGTTTAATAAAAAGCTTCACAACACAATAGCTAAACAGATATTACTCTATTCTTAACCCTCTCAGCTAATTTGGTTTCCCTTAGTGTACATCCCAGAATACTTGCACTTTGTAGCTTTCTTCCCTCAGCTCCTCTCTCCTGATATGACCTGGACCTCTCCCATGGCTAAATCCCCTACTTCCTATCTTATAACTCCTCCTCCCCAGGATGTCAGGAAGTCTCGCCCTATTCTCTCTCTTGTGCAATGATTGGCTATAAGCTGCTTTACTGACATATTCGGGGACATTGGAGAGAAGAGAATATACAACATTAAGACAGGAGATTTTGAGATCAAGGCTTGCAACCAGATATGGGAGATACAAAAATCAGCACTTGAATTACACAATAACCTGATGCCTACATTGGACAAAAACACGTAGCCATAGATCTTGGTTGAAAGATTCAAAATAATGAAGAAGTGAACGAAAACATAGCATTCTGGCAGCAGAAGGGAAAAGAGATGGCACAACCCAAGTCATTATTTCTTCTAAGCATATAATGTGCATAATTTCATATTGATTTCTTTACAGTAGAGAAAACATTGAAATAAATAGCTCAAACATCTTATTTCATTAAATGTCACCTTAATTATATTTTCATATACACATTCTGGTAGTATAGTAATGGAAGCAAGGAGCAATTTGTGTGATTTCAAGTTAGAAACAGGATAGGAGCCTACCACAGAGGGCCTCTGAAAGACTTTACTTAGCAGCGTATCAGAGCAAATGCTGAGACTCATAACCAAACTTTGAGCAGAGTGAGGGGAATCATATGAAAGAAGGGGGAGAGAAAAAGACTTGGAGGGGACAGGAGCTCCACAAGAAGAGCAACAGAACCAAGAAATCTAGGCACAGGGGTCTTTTCTGAGACCGATATTCTAACCAAGGACCATGCATGGAAATAACCTAGAACCCCTGAACAGATGTAGCCCATGGTAGTTCGATGTCCAATTGGGTTCCCTACTAATGGGAACAGGAACTGTCTCTGACATGAACTCAATGGCTGGTTCTTTGACCACCCACCCTGTGGGAAGAGCAGTCTTGCCAGTCCACAGAAGAGGACAATGCAGCCTTTCCTGATGAGACCTGATAAGCTAGGGTCAGAGGGAAGGGGAGGAGGACCTCCCATCTCAGTGGACTTAGAGAGGGGCATGGGAGGAGATGAGGGACGGAGGATGGGATTGGGAGGGAGTGATAGAGGGGGCTACAGCTGGTATACAAAGCAAATAAAATGTAACTAATGTAAAAATACAAAATTTAATGAAAAATAAAAAGTCATTTGATACATTAAAAATTAGTGGTATTAACTCTTGCATTTGTAGAGTTAGGGACAGTTCTTTTCAAAGCCTAAAATTAATTTTTAAAAAATCATCTTTTTAAATTAAATTTTTATGTTTTATATTAATTACAACTTATTAACTTTGTATCCCAGTTGTAGCCCTCTCCTTCAACCTCTCCCAACCCCACTCTCCCTCCCTTATCTCTTCCCAAGCCCCTCTCCAAGTCCACTGATAAGGGAGGTCCTCCCCCCCTTCCATCTGACCCTAACTTATCAGGTCTCAACAGAACTGGCTGCACTGTCCTCCTCTGTGGCCTGGTAAGGCTGCTCCCCCATTAGGGGAAGATGGTCAAAGAGCTAGCCATTGAGTTCATGTCAGAGACAATACCTGTTCTTACTAGGGTACCCACTTGGACACTGAACTGCCATGGGCTACATCTGAGCAGGAGTTCTAGGTTATATCATGAATGATCCATGGTTGGAGTACCAGTCTCAGAAAAGACCCCTGCATCCAGATATTTTGGTTCTGTTGCTCTCCTTGTAGAGCTCCTGTCCTCTCCAAATCTTATGTTCTTTCCTAAGATTCCATGCACTCTGCCCAAATCGTCTTTTAAGGCTTTTAAGGCTCTTTTCTTGATATTTATTTTACTAGTGAGAATTCTAAGAGTGATGCAAGTCCTGAATTGGCAAGTATGTACAATGCTATATGTGATGTCTTTCTGAGAAATAAAATTTCTTATTGTCAGTATCTAGACTGTGCCTGGCTTAAATGAGTTTGTGAGATGGACAGCAGTTCATATTTTATCTGGGTGCTTTTCAGCTCATCAGGCAGTGGAGAGCGACAGGTAGACATTTTCTTCTCTATTTTCTGATAGAGGTTCTTCCACGAGATTAGGCATCTTGATCTTCATCATCTTGGTTGGTTCAATTTATTATGTTAAATTTCATGACAGTCCATACGATTACAAGAGTATCAGGTGGGGTATGGATTGTGAATTGAGCTACGGATGTAGTAAGTGAACAAGTGCAGTGTTTGTGACATAACGTGATAAGGGAAAAGACAACACCATGGAGTATACTGGGATGTATTTCTACTCGAGGCACATATGATAAGCAGCCTTTGACTCCTGTTAAGCCATTAGAGGTCCAGTTTGATGTTTAAACATTCAATCATATTTCTACTTCTGGACGCACATTCACTCACTTATTTATCCCCTCTTTAGTGATATACACTTACATTCCTTATCTATTTAATTATTTATTAGTTTTAATATATTTTATTGGACAACCATTTAGTGATTTTGATGAAACACCAAGCCTGGTAGAGGAAAAGAATGAAGGAACAAGATTTCAAAAGTAAACATTTCAGTGCCAGAGAACGTTTTAAGTTATGAAAATTTCTACTGTGGCTATGGTTTTGATTATGCTTTATTAAACTAATGTGGGTCTCCAACAATGTTACATCTGTACTATGAAGAATTTTGATAGTACTCCTTGCCATTGGAACTGAGTTTAGAGATTTTATAAGTCAAATTTAAAGTTGGTAGTTTTAGGGAGAATTTGAGCTCATTTTTTAATCTTTATCATTTCTTTCCAGAAATAATGTAGATATACTTTTTAGTCTTATAAATTCATTAGTTCCAGTCTTATAAATTCATACTTTTAAAGCATTAAAAGTATATTTAATAGTAAATGCTTTTGTGAAGCATAGATGCTGAGGTTATTAAACTACTTTCTATGATTTAGTGAGGAATAGACATGAAGCTCATTTTTGGTAAATTGTATTTTCCTAAGTATATTTATTAGATTTCTAAATTTAAAGGTCAAAATAGACTTTTATTTAACACAATTCTTCATCATTTTGGAAGTTTTTGAGGCCAGGAGCTAAAGAAATGTAGTAATAAGAGAGCATGCTGTGGACTGTGCTATGCTGTCATGAAGATATAAAGTAAGATTTCCTCTTTTTGTGACAGTAATATTATCTTGGATGAGTTTCCATGTTTGGGCAATACTTCAAGGTGATACTTAGAAGAACTGATTTCTGAGAATGGTTTCTTTAACTTTGCAGAAGAATCATGAGTCATTTTGAAATCCAGGCACTTAAAAATAACTCTGGCTACATACATGTATGAAATTCACCAGAAAATTTCAGTGCAGAATCCTAAAATATTTACCATTAGAATCTTGATCTCAAACTTGAATGCAAGGCATCCAAATATACTTCTACTATAGTTAAATACCCCAAACAGGAAGGGATGTCTTATGGATGAAATATCTGCTCAGAGATATTAAAGAAACAAGTATTTACAATGAAAATATCCCCCAAACAGTAGAGAGTTAAATAGAAGTTTCATATGTTTTTCATGGCTTACAAAATCTGTCCAAAACAAGTGAAAATTGTTTTCCAACAACCTTTTTGAATGCATGTTTCACCTCTTTATTTCTCAGGCTGTAGACAAGAGGGTTAAGCATGGGTATGATCATAGTGTAGAACACAGATGCCACCTTGTCAGTGTCCATGGAGTGGCTAGAGCTGGGCTGTAAGTACATGAAGATGATTGTGCCATAGAAGATGGAAACAGTGGTGATGTGGGAAGCACAGGTGGAGAAGGCCTTCTTTCGGCCCTCTGCTGACTGCATCTTCAGGATTGCAACAAAAATCAGCAGGTAAGAGTTCAGGATAACCAAGAGGCTGACGACAACATCGAATGATGCTAATGTAAAGACAACAATCTCGTTTTTATAGATATCAGAACAAGAAATATCCAGCAAGGGGGGAATATCACAGAAAAAGTGGTTGATTACATGGGAATGACAGAAGGAGAGGTGGAAAGTAAAGGCAACATGAATGGAAGATTGCAAGAGTCCACAAATATAGGAGACAGATACCATTAGGACACACGTAATACTTGTCATGGTGCTAGTGTAATGCAAGGGTTTGCACACTGCTGCATGACGGTCATAGGCCATCGAGGCCAGAATGAAACTTTCAGTGACAGCAAAGGCTGCAAAAAAGAACAACTGCGCAGCACATGCATTGTAGGATATGATCTTATTTCTTGTCAGAAACCCTTCCATTACCTTGGGAGTGATTGCTGAGGCATAAACAAAGTCTACCAGTGACAAGTTACTGAGGAAAAAGTACATGGGAGTGTGGAGTCGGGAGTCCAGTAGAATCAGCGTTATCATTCCAAGGTTCCCAATCAGTGTGGTCAAATAAATGAGAGTGAAAATGATAAATAATGGGATCTGAAGTTCTGGGGCATCTGTTAAGCCCACAAGAAAAAATTCAGTTGCCTCTGAAATATTCTCCATCAATGTCACTTGGAAATTATGGTAGGTACCTAAAAGCGGATTAAATAATGGAAAGTTATGCTATTGAACATTACTATGAAGTATGAACCATGAGTATAATCTCTTATTCATATGTCAGTGTCTTATTTATATGAAACAATGTCAACTGAATGCAGGGTAGGAGAATCATGAGTAAGACATAAATGGACACCAGAACTTCATTGCTGACCATAATAACTGGAAAAGCCTAGACAATATAGGACTCTGGGCATCATATCAGATTTCTTATTATATCATATTCTTTATTACAGTAGCCCACCTAACCTATGACTGTTTTATACTACTTGAAATATCTGGTAGGCACTTAAAAAAAAGATTGAATGCAAAATTAGCAGAAGGTTCAGCGAAACATGCAGTCACATTTCAGCATATAGTGCAGACAAAGCCTGTCAGTGCATTTTTCATATTAATAAATCCCTGTTAATGGATAGTTGTGTAATCTTTTCTTTTTTGCTATTGCTATTGCTGAAATCAAGCAAAGGGACTTCCTCGGGGGTATTAATCAAATGCTGTACCACTGAGCTATAATACAGCTTTCTTTTTTCTTACTATCTGTAGATTGGTAATGGTTTGGTCTTTGCTCTGGAGACACTTTATTTTGTTATGAGGACTTTTTAAATTAAATTTTTATTTTTATATCAATTGCAGTTTATTAACTGTGTATCCCAGCTGTAGCCCCCTCCTTCATTCTCATCCAATCCCACCCTACCTCCCTCAGCTCCTCCCATTCTCCTCTCTAAGACCACTGATAGGTAAGGTCCTCCTCCCCTTCCATCTGACTCTAGCTTATCAGGTCTTATCAAGACTGGCTGCATTGTCCTCCTCTGTGGCCTGTTAAGACTGACCACCTCTGGTAGCTGGGATGTCAAAGAGCCACTGAGTTCATATCAGAGACAGTTCCTGTTCCCCTTACTAAGGAACCCACTTGGAGACTGAGCTGCCATGGGCTACATCTGTGCAGGGGTTCTAGGTTATCTCCATGAATATTCCTTGGTTGGAGTGCAGGGAATCCTATCAAAACAGGCGGATATAGTGGGACCTGGAGAGGACAGAAGCTCCTCAAGGAAAGCAACAAAACCAAAATATCTGGGCACAGGAGTCTTTTCTGAGACTGTTATGTGAACTTTTAACTAGACTCTTCCCTTTAAATACTGGTGAGCTAAAATATACAACCTCTTGAGCATATTCTTGTTGATGCTTTGATATATTTAAAAATCTTAGAAACTAAAAGAGGATTTTTCAAAGAGTTGCAGTAAAGATTCAGCTGTTTTTAGTTTAAGAAGTCACAATCTTCACTTTTTACACATGCTACTATTCTATGTATGGGCACTGTGAAAATGGGGGGAAGAAGAAATGGTTACATTTGTAGGTTACTCAGATTTTGTACCCTCAGCCAGACTGTATTCCAAAGTGTCTGTTCTTTTACTTACCTATATGGTAGCTAGAATAACCTCACACAATGTTACTCTGATTGCCTTAGGAATAGGGCCATTAACCTGAGAGAACTTCTGGATTTAGAATCTTGGGACTTTCTCATTTCTCTAAACTAGGCTTCCTTCACATTCAGTGTGAGATATGATGTACCCCTTTTCTTAAACAAGAACCAAGGATAAAATTATCTCCTCCATTATTAGGCTTTCTTTTAGTATATGGCCACAAATAAAAATGCTTTTTGCAACCCTTGGCAGCTCAGTCTCCATGTAGGTACTCTAATAAGGAGAACAGGGGCATTCACTGGCATAAACTTGATTGCCTGTTCTTTGATTACCTCCCCCTGCTGGGGTGGCCTTACTTGGCCACATAGATAGAAGATCCATACAGTCCTGATGAGATCTGATAGGCTAAGGTCTGATAGTAGGGAAGGAAGACCTCCCCTTCAGTGGACTAGGGGAGAGAAATAGGGGGAGGGAGGGTAGGACTGGAAGGCAATGAGGGAGGGGGTTACAGCTGGGGTAAAAAGTGAATAAATTGTAATAAATAAAAATCACAAAAATAATACTTTTGAAAACTATAGCAAATGCTAATATTTTAAAATCAACACATTAGTTCCATTTATGTTCATGTAATATCTCTTCATGACCATCAACTAACACTGGATTTATGGTTTTAGTGTAAACTATTCATAAAAGCTTAACAGTTAACAAGGCAAGTTGATATTAGATTGTGCTATGTCCTAGAATCTTGAGAATTACTTGTTTTTCTCTGAAGTAGGCTCCCTTCACATTCAATGTGAGAGACGATGCACCCCTTATATTAAATAATAAGCAAGGTTAACATTAAAAGAGGAAACAGTAACTTTTGTATTTCTAATCCAATAAAACATCCCTAAAACAAAATTTCTCTGTTTATAATGACATTTACTCTATGACCTGATGGCCATAAACATGAAACATAGAGGCTGTCAAGCCGCTCATAGAGACGAAAGAGCAGAGAGCAAAGATAATAATATGGCTAGCACAATTGTCTGAAGGTAGTACAGTTATTTCCCTTTTTGTTTTTCTTTTTACATTTTTGCTTTTGTTTGTGAAATAGAAGTTATCAGGCATCCAAACGTGTTTTATGATTCTGACTGACTATGGCAGTACATTTTTGTGATACTTACTATTGTCATAGAAACACACAGGCAGTGGTACAAAGGAGGGGCATGGATTACTTCATGTTGAGAAGCATCAGAAAAATGGCCAAAAACCAGAAAAGAATCTCCTTCCTCGTGCAGGAAGCTCTGCTTTAGAATAGAGCTCGGACTTGTGCTCCTCCAAATATCTAGGCAGAGAGAACAAGCTCACCACATTTCTCAGGGGAAGGAGGGACATGAGGGTAGATGTCTCTTCACAACTGTAATCCCATATTGATCCTTCATTCCAAACTTTTGTAGTTTTTTTTTTTTTTTAATTTCCTGAGAGTGCTTCTGAGGGCATGAGGGAATAAAACTTAGATGAGAAAACATCTGATTCTTAGATCCTCTGTTCCACAGCTGAGTCAAGCAGCAAAAAATTAAAAATCCTTCTAAAATCTCCAATTAGGGCAAGTTTAGGCCCTCACACAAATTTTGTTTTGTCTAAAGAGATGTGAAATGATCTTGAGTTAATTTTTTCCTATTAAAAATTATTTTACTACAACAGCCTTGATGTAATTTTCTTCCTTTTTTTTTCTTTTGAGATGTATTTTATTTCATGTATGTAAGTGTTTTCCTGCCCATACATCTGGCATTATTTGTGTGTTTGGTGCCCATGGAAGCAAGAATAATGTATTGAATTCTCTTAAACCAGAGTTATAAACAGTTGTGAGCTGCCATGTAAGTGGTTGAAACCAAACTGTGATCCTCCTCAAAAAGGCAAATGCCCTTAATCTTTGGGCAATCTCTACATTTCCTCTCTATTGCCTTAAAAAAATATCTTCAAATGGTGATTGCACCGATTGTAGGATACAATGTGCTATTTTTATACACATGTCCATTTTCTATTATCCAAATCAGAAGAGAAAAATAAAGGTTTATTTCTAGTACTGACTTATAAACAGCAAATACTAGAAACTTCATTTACAAATTTCATTATAACTAACAAATTCAGGAAAGTCATAAGATAAAATTATAAACACAAACTTGATTGTTTCTTTTTATTAACAAATTATAAATCACATAAAGACTAAGAAAATGACAAATAGTAAGTGCTTTGAATAAGCTTAAGTGAAGAAATGTAGGACACGGTAAATGTAAATTACACAACATGGCTGAAATTTAAAAAAAAAAAAAACAGGAAAATTAGAGTACTTCCATGCCTAATTACAATTTAGGCTCAGTCATACCAATAATCACTTTACACCTAGAAGCTGGTGACACAAGCTTCACAAACATGCTATATGAAATAAGAAGAATCGGGAGTTTTCATTGCTCTACCTATCATATATCTTATTTCAGCAAGGCAAGGCTGAATTATTACTTAACAGTTAAATTTTTCAGTATTAATTGCTATATGAATAAACAGTTAGAAATGAAAATTGCTGCTGAGAGCAGAATACATTTTCTCCTTGGACAAGCCACCAAATAGATTATCCAACAGTCTCAAGCGGTCAGCCCTGAATGTGTCTGTGACCATGTCTGTGTCTGGTTTTTTTTTTTGTATATATATATATATATATATATATATATATATATATATATATATATATATATGTGCAATACTAGTTTATGCATATATGTATCTGTGTGTGAACATGTGTGTGCCATATATATAGTATATATACCATATATAATCATTAAATTAAAGAATAAGAAGTCAGGCTTTTGAGAAAGAGTGACGCAAGGAAGGACTTAAGGAAGGTGGAGGGATGGAAGTGATATAAAGGCAATATTTGTGCCTGAATTTCTAAAAGAAATATATTGAAAATAAAGTGTACTCATATTTCACAAAAAGAACCATCCATATGAAGAAAAGAAGAAGTCCAGGTAGACTACATTTCTCTCTCTCTCCTTCTCTTCCACTCCAGTGACCCTAGTGTGGCAGCTGTTTGCTATAGAGTACTTCTTTCCTTCAGTCTGTTGGAACCCCTTTGAAACTCATCTGATCCCAACATCACTTGCTTCTAGAGAAATGGTAGCACACACGTCCTTCTGTTCTTTCTTTCTTTTTTTTTTCTTTCTTTCTTCTTTCATTCTAGTTGCTTAAACTACATTCTACCTCCAAACCTTAGACAGATCCTAACTCTGGTCTTCAGTCTGATGCTTCTCCTTGACCCCAGATCACCTGCACTATATCCAAACTCCAGCCCTAGCCTTGGCTTTCTATCTGTACGCCTATACATCTTGCTGTGTCCTTGGAACCTCATGTGCTCATGGCATCTCCAACCCTCAGGTCTTGTCCAGGCACACAGCAAAAGGAGACCTAGTTTCTCAGATCAGACACAGAGCCAACAAAAGAAGTCAACATGTTTAGCTCTCAGTATAAACACACAAACATACACATACACCGTGCAAATACATACACCCATGCCCATGCACACACACGTGAACATGCACACACACAGTATGTAAGGGTAAGACTGCGTATTTACCCTAAAATGCAAGGTCCTAAAAAGTTGTTTTCCACTAAAAATGACCGGGATGAACCCCATTACACAGAACTTAAAAGAACATTTATTAACTTTATCAAAACATTAAGGTGTTTGTATGAGGCATGAAGAAGCAGCTCAGTGGACTTAAATGAACAGTAATAATTACCCTAAGTGATGCCTAAGAAAATGCAAACATGTTTGAGTAAAACGGCAAAGGGAGCATGGGATTTGAAAGAACTCATTTCAATATAGAGAAAGAAATATTGAAGGGAGCTGAAGATAAAATGAAGGTGAAATTGAAAAACTTAATAACCCACCTGTACAGCTCAGAGGGTAATTGGGCATATAATCCTGCCAGCAGTCATAAAGGCATTGCCAATCGATTGTTGCTGGGAGAAAAAGACAGTTCTTTCTAACACTGTGCCCACTGTTAAGCTGACCATTCTCCACTGGAAGGCCACACATCAAAGATTATTTGGAGATCACAAATTTGGTCTTAAGTGGAGAAAACAAATGTACATGAAGATAAATCCATAGAAAAGTGGGTATTGTTAAGGGAGAAGGAGTGAATATGACACAACTTTGTATGGAACACTTAAGAAGCTAAAATTGTAAAATTTTAAGAAGCTAAAAATTGTAAAAAATAAAAATAAAAAAGTACTATAACTCTAATATCTGTTGATCTATTTACCCACCAATCATGGTTTTCTATCACAGTAGTTATTTTGTGACTGAGATGCAAAGAATTGTCTATTCAACCCAGAGAGGGTCTCAATGGCATACCGAATAAACAGTTCAATGAAAATCTATCCTGCTGAACCAAGGAGTTTAGTCATGGTTGTGACTTACACGAGTATGGTTGAGGAGCTGCCTGCAGGCACAGAATTGTATCTAAGGGAGATGCATCATTAGAAAGCCTAACCAGCATGGCTGACAATTCAGAAAAAAGATATGAATTGCTAGAACCCAATAAACAGCTTTCAGGAAGTGCGCCTTGAGAATCTCCCCTCTCTTTCATTAGTTTACTCTTGTAGTTCTGTGGACCAGCCTTTGTGACGCTTGTAACATTCTGAGCTCAGGAAGTTTCATTGACACCCTAAAGGTTAAATTTTTGAGACATCTGAACTCTTAATTTTTATTTACTTCCTGAGCTTAGAAGCTTTCACCCTGCTCAAGGAGCCAATGTCTCAACTCAAGGAACTAATTACACAACGGCAGTTCATACACAGGAAGGGTGGTGCAGTGTTGTAGTATTGGGTATCCAGTATCTAGGATTACAATCAAAATTTTTAAATTGAAGTGCCTAATATTAGTGACAATGTATCCGAACTTAGTTGTGCATAGCCAAAATAAAAAAAAAAATGAACAGAAGAGGCTTCATCCATAAAATACCTATTCAGAGAAATTAAAGTCAAGAAATAATTATAGATAAATTATTTATAAACCAGATACCCTATAGCTTCAGATCACTTGTAAACACTCTACAGTTAAGTGACTAATCCCAGTGAAGACAATGCTTTTCCAGCAACCTTCTTGAATGCATTCTTGACTTCTTTGTTCCTCAGGCTGTAAACAAGAGGGTTCAGCATGGGGATGACCATGGTGTAGAACACAGATGCTGTTTTGTCAGTGTCCATAGAGTGACTGGAGCTGGGTTGCAAGTACATGAAGATGATTGTGCCATAGAAGATAGAAACAGTGGTGAGATGGGATGCACAGGTGGAGAAGGCCTTCCGTCGGCCCTCAGATGAGTGCATCCTCAGGATTGCAACAAAAATAAGTAGATAAGAGGTCATGATAACCAATAGAGTAAAAGCAACATTGAATGCTGCCAACAATAACAGTACAATTTCATTTGTGTGAATACCAGAGCAAGAAAGAGCTAGCAGTGGAGGAATGTCACAGAAAAAGTGATTCACAACATTGGAATGACAGAAGGAGAGATGGAAAGTGAAGGCAACATGTATAGAAGATTGCAAGAGTCCAGTGGTGTAAGAACCAGCAGTAAGCAGGGCACACATTGTAGCTGTCATGGTGGTGGAGTAATGCAAGGGTTTGCACACTGCTGCATGACGGTCAAAGGCCATCGAGGCCAAGATGAAACTTTCAATAGTAGCAAAGGCTGCAAAGAAGAACATCTGGGCAGCACACGCATTGTAGGATATGATCTTATCTCCTGTGAGAAACCCTTCTATTACCTTGGGAGTGACAGCTGAGGCATAAACACAGTCCACCAGGGAGAGGTTACTGAGGAAAATGTACATGGGAGTATGTAGTCGGGAGTCAAGGAGAATCAACACAATCATCCCAAGGTTCCCAACCAGTGTGGTCAAATAAATGAGAGTGAAGATGATAAATAAAGGGACCTGCAGCTCTGGGACATCTGTTAACCCCATAAGAATAAATTCAGTCACTTCAGAAATATTCTTCATCAGTGTTATTTGGGAATTGTGACAGGCTCCTAGAATTAAAGGAAGAAATAAAAAATTATTCTGCTTTTACACCATCATGAAATGTTAAATATGTTCAAATCCTCTTATTAATATGTCAGCATCCTGTCTACTGTGGAAGGGCCTGAACTGAATGCTGAGTAGAACGGCTTAAATAGAGGCACTTATCTAGCAGTGGGTCACATAAAAACTGTCATTTCTTTGCTGTCTCCATTATAAATTTGAATGTTATTTAGGTTTTATGGTAAATGATAATATTTATTTCAGTAACCCACCAAGTTACTGATTTGTTATTTGCACAAATTTACAAACATTATTTTTCCTGAGATGCACATCTGAATCTTATTTCGAATCAAGAGCAATGTAGGAGTATGCAATTATCCCTTGCTGTTTTGTAAGTAACAAAACTTAAATTCATTTTCTATCTTTGTTACTTCCATAAAGTTTAACACACTAACTGTAACTATGCAGTCATTTTAGGAGCTGCTCCCTGAATACTTGGTCTTACCTCTGATTTGCTAGTCTTGCATTATGTTCTTTCCTTGGAACCTTGGACCAGATAATAACTTCTTGATGCATGGGGTATGCTCATGGTGAAGTGGAGATATATGGAAGTATATAGATAGCTAAGGTCATATTTTTTCAAAAATGTAGAGATAATTTCAAATGCTATCATTATATCTAATGGGCTTTATTTTTTATGTAAGTTGCAATTTCCTATTAGCACCATCAAGCTTGTTATATTTTTCTGAGCAGCAATAGGGTAGAAAATAATAATTTCTTTTCCTCTCCCTACAAAATGTTTAACCTTAAATATAGTGTGTTTCATGGTGTATCTTGTACCATTTCCTTGGTAGACCATGTGACACCTGACTATGAAGCTATAATTTTATATGAGCCTGCTTCTTTTTATTTTTGTTGTTGTTGTTATTATTATTATTACAATTTATTCACTTTGTATCCTGGCTGTAGCCCCTCCCTCCTACATGCCTCCCTAAGTCCCTCCCCTAGTTCACTGTACCCTACAATCTGACCCCAGCCTACCAGGTCTCATCAGGACTGTCTGGAACCTCTTTCTCTGTAGCCTAGTAAGACCATCTTGCCAAGAGGAAGTGATCAAAGAACAGGCAGCTGAGTTCATGCCCGTGACTGCCCTGCTCCCCTTACTAGGGAATCCCATATGGAGACTGAGCTGCTCATGGACTACATCTGAGCAGGGGGGCTAGGTCCTGTCCATGCATGTTCCTTAGTTGATTCATCAGTCTTTGCAGGGCCCCTGAGCCCAGGTTTTCTGCCTCTGTTAGTCTCCTTGTGGATCTCCTGTCCTTCCAGGCCTTCTTCCCTAAGATTCCTTGCACTCTGCCCAAAGTTTGGCTATGAGTCTCAGCAGCTGCTTCAATACCCTGCTGGGTAGAGTTTTTCAGAGGTCCTCTGTGGAAGGCTTATATCCTTTTCCCTGTCTTCTCCCACTTCCAATGTCTATCCTATTTGCCCTTCTGAATGAGGATTAAAGCCCTTTCCCTAGCTGCTGTTTAGCTTCTTCAGGCTAGATTAACATACTAGGATAGTATGTTTATCCAATATTATATGGCTAATATCCACTTATTAGTAAGTATATACCATGTTTTTTTTAATTTACTTTATATCCTGATGATAGCCCCCTTCCTCCTCTCCTTCTGGCCCCAACCTCTATCTTCTTCCTATTCCCCATCCAACATGCCTGGATACCTAGGTGGAAAGAGCTCCTGTTTTCTGAGCCTGTTTCTTACCTCAAGAGTCACTTACAACTTCAGAATCTTGGGCTTACTCATTCCTCATCAATAACCTCTTATATTCAAGGCAACAAATAATGTAACCTAATTCTTTTATATGACGAGTGTGCAAATCATCCTTCCTCTTCACAGGATATATCTGCACTTAAATGAAAGGAATATGCAAATTCTTGCAAATTATAGAAGACGCTAACATTTCTAAATTATGTAAATCATAGCCATTGCCTTCCATTCCCTGCTCACCCTTTTCTGCTTTCTTCAGAATGTGAATGTCATTATATGAATTTTTAAACACTGATACTCCCAGGAAAAAGAACCTAGTAATTGATAGATTAAAATGAACATTGAAAGTTTTACAATCCTCTGAAATTAAAAGTAAGCTGTAATCTATAGGTGTCTAATCCTGTAAACATAAGGAATACTAAATAGTCAGAGCATGTTCTCCCTCTGGAATGAAACTTTCACTGCAGGACCTCAAGGTCTTTAGGTAGAATTCTGGCTGCTCTAACACACATGACAGTATGAAGAGCCGTGGGGCAAGAGTGAGAAGATTATTAATAATCATTGGTCTTTTGCCCAGCTCCTTCAGCTTTTTAGACATTAACTTCACTTTTTCATTTGCACCTGTGAAACGAAAATGACTGGATATCTATCACCATTTACAGTCTGACTACCTATATTTACATGTTTTTCATACTTACTTTTGTGCTGGGAACAGAACAATGTGGTTAAAAAGAAAGGGCAAGAGATATTTCATATCCAGAGCATTGATTCAATCTCTGCCTCTAGGAAAGCATCTTGTTGTTTTCCTTCCCTACAGGTATAGCTCTGCTGTGGAATGGAATCTGGTCTTATACTATTGCCAATTTTGTGGCAGAAACAGAAGCTGTACACGTATCTCAGGGGGAGCAGTACATATGAGCAGATGTCTCTGAAGACTTATGAACTCACTGGTTCTTCAGCCTGACCTTGATGGAGACAGCAGAAGAGAGTGTGCTTTTTGTCTGACAGTGCTTATGAAGACGCTGGGGAATAGAAGCTCAATGAAAAAGTCTCCAGTTATCAATCACAGGTATTCCACAACCAGGTTGAACAAACAAACAAACAAACAAACAAGAACAACAAAAAACAACTGAGAGGTTCCATTAAATTTTCTACATAGATAACTTTAACAACATATAAGAGCATTCTGATATCAGATTTTCTCAAAAGTTAAGACATGGTTCCAGGACATTTTATTCTTTCATCTTATGCATTGTAAAGAAGATACTCATTTTTTTTTCTTATCACACCATATATAATTTTTGTTTTTGTAATTTTAAAATTTCATTTAATAAGCATACATTTATACTAAGGTATACTTGCTGCATGATGATATTTTTTCAGTGTTCATACTAGCTTTATATGTATGGAATATATTATTTTGAGGAGATCCAAGATGGTGGCCCCAGGAGGACACTCTTTCTGACCAGCAGCACAGAAGGATCTGCACAGTGACCAGCAGACAGAACTCTTGGTGCTAAAACACCAGCAACTGTGTTTCCCAAGTGAGAGGATACCCCACAGTGTGGGATTCAATCAGCTTCAACTCACCCAGGTAACCGAGGAAGAGGTCCCAATTCCACCAGGCACTTGGTCACTAGCCCAGAGCTACACATTGCTGGCGTGCTCTGATCACTGTTTCAGACTGAACTGTGGGCCCCACAACACCAGAGAACTGGTATTTCCAGTCGAGAGAAAACGCCATGGTGCAGGAAAAGCTTAGGACTGACCTTAGGTCACCCAGATATTCCCTGGAAAAGACCCGGGACCATGCAGGCTCCAAGGAGCCAGCCCAGAGCTGGGCACACAGGCACCAGCACAGAGTCCTGCCTGCATGCCTGAATCATGGCCCCAGATAGAACTGTGGGCCCCAGGGCACCAGATAATATTCCAAAATGTGACTAGTTATCCCTAGATAAACTGACAAAATTGTGGGACTCCCTGTTTCTTCAAGAGGGCTGCATCCAACAAATACACCTTACGAACAATAGCTGCAGCTCACTAAATTCAGAGTAAGAAATCCAGCAGCAGGGCAGCCATCTCCAGGACTTCTCTTGATGACAGGAGAGCTTCCCTGAACACCACAGTTACCACAACGGTCCATATGCCTGAGGTAAACTGTGACAATTTCTGAGAAGCACCACCATTCAGTTGATCATACCCAAAAAGCTGAGGAGATCTCCTTCAGAACTCTGCCAAGGGGATTCTCCCTACCATAAGACCCAGCAGGCACCAGAAATTAACAGACAATAACTGAGACAGCCAGATGGGTAGAGGCCAGCGTAAAAGCACAACTAACAAAAGACAAAGCAATACAGCATCACAAGAACCCAGTTATTCAGGGGCAAGTAGCCCTGGACACCCTAACATAAGTGAAATTCAAGAAGATGACCTTACATCAATGCTTATGAAGAGGTTAATGGAGGAAGCAAATAAAATGCGTAAAGAATTAGAGGAAGATATGGTAAAACACATTATGGCCATCTGTAAAGAAATACAGGAAGATGCAGCCAAACAGTTTGTGGCTTTCAGAGAGGAAATGATTAAATCACTGAAAGAAATAAAAGAAACAGAGGAATGTTCAAACAAACAGGTGAAGGAATTGAAGGAAAAACAGGGAAATATAGTCAGACAGGTGAAGGAAATCAACAAAACGGTTCAATATCTGAAGGTAGAATTGGAAAAATTAAAGAAAACACAAATGGAGGAAATTATGGAGAGGGAGAACCTAGAAAAGAAAACAGGAACTTCAGAGGTAATCATAAACAACAGACTACAAGAGATGGAAGAAAAAAAAAATCTCAGGTGTGGAAGATACAATGGAAGAAATCGATATATCCGTCAGAAGAAAATAATAAATCTAAAAAAATCCTGACACAAAACATCCAAGAAATCCAAGACAACATAAAAAGACAAAACCTAAGAATAACAGGAATAGAGGAAAAAGAAGATTCCCTCCGCCAAGGCCCAGAAAATATTTTCTTTTTTTTTCTCTTTTTTTATTTAATTTAATTTTTTTCTTATCAGTTACATTTTATTAACTCTGTATCCCAGCCATGTCCCGCTCCCTCATTCCCTCCCAATCTCACCCTCCCTCCCTCATCACCACCGTGCCCCTTTCAAAGTCCACTGATGGGGGGGACCTCCTCCCCATTCATCCGATCCTGTTTT